TATGCTTTATCTTTAATGCAAGCGGAATCTATAGACTTGAATGTACATTCAATAATCATTGTTTAAAGAATTTTGAGCAATTTAATTATCCAAAAAACTTTATGAACGAATTAATAGCTTTATACAAATCCGAATCTTGTATGTATCGAATTAAAGAATGTATTTTTGATCATTATTTTCATATAAAGTACACTGAAGGTATTCAAGTTATGCAATTGTATGTTCTAAAAACCATGCAAATACAACAAATATTTAATATATGAAGGAAAAAATCATCCGATTAAATATAGCAATTTCCGTATTAGCTATTTCAAAAATAAGCAAATGATTGCTTTTTTTTCTGGATATGGAAATATAGCTCTGTATTTAATAGAAAATGGTCTGGAAATTATTCGTAAAGATTTAGGAAAAGATACCAAAATAATTGGTTGCGAATTTAAGGATGATAACAAATTAATGATAATTAAACAAGATAAGTACATGGTGATGTCAATTTGGCATTTATATACAAATGAAGTTCAAAATTAGAAAGTAGTTTATATTTCTATAATGCAAGGATTCCTGGTAAAAATTTAGTTGTTACAAAATCAGATGAAATAATATCTATATATGATCGTATACTAAAAATAGATAATAAGACAAAAGAAAATCAAAGTTTTCTACCAGAATTAGAATTATACAAAGATGGTCATAAAAAAAAGACAGTTAAAATATTAGAATATAACAAATAAAGATCTTTCAAAAGAAGCAGCGTTACCTATTATACGTAATAGAGAACCATGGATAACTGATGATTATAAAAAGAAATGGATATATCTTGATCAAGAAGAATCGATACAGTTATATATTGGAAAATGCACAGTTCAAGTATGACGTAAGATTGAGCAAAAAAGAAAATTTTATTTCTTGAATATTTTTGGACGAACGAAGATGATGATAATGGAATATTACAAATAGTAGATTTATTTGTTTATGAAAGTGGTTTTTCTCTTAAATTAAAAAATAATAATAATTATATTGACCTCAAATGGATAGATAAAGATGCTAATCATAAGGATTTAATGAGGCATGCTTGTATTGGCATTGAATATTTAAATGATCAAAGAAATAAATTTGTAGGATATGAGAACCAGCATGGTAATTATTAATTTTTAATATTAATACATCTGTTTTTTTAAAGCAAAAAAGAATAATAAATAATTGCTAACTTTTTCTAATAATAATAGTATTTGAAGAAATTAAGGATAATGTTTCTCTTATGATTTTGTGATTTATTAAAAATTATCCTGACATTTGGAAAATACTAGATATTCACTATAATCTTATGACAAGTATTATAATTGGTGGCTCAGATACTCTTATTAAATGTATTTTATTTGGTGATGATGTAGTAAAACATACAAATTTACATATACCAAGAATAACTCGATGGACTGAATCTAAAAATAATTCAAATAAAAGTGATCTGCAGTACGAACCAGAACGAATTTTCTAAATTCGTACCGTACCGTACTGGTTCTATAATAATGCTTTATATATAGGACCAGTACGGTACGGTACGATTCAAATTTCCCGCGAAAAAATACTGATCTGCATAATCGTACCGTACTGGTCTGGCGAATCGTACCGTACCGGTTTTCCATATACTCTTTGCAAATAGCTATTAGATTGTGTAAACCTGGTAATGTTATTCATTATTTGAGTATTTATAAAATTTAAATAATTAATAATTTTAATTAATGAAATTTTATATATAGGTCTTGAACGTAACCGTAAAATTTTGGTTGTAACTTATTTACTTGAATATTATTTGAAAAATGCAACTGAACATCATGGATGGTTAATTACTATTTCAAAAGCAATACCAGATTTATATTCCTATAATTTAGGTATGTACAGTATTATCATTTTTTTAAAATTGCTTTTAAATTATTATTATTTTTTTTAAATAAAAATAATTTTTTTAAATAGAGTTTTGTATACCCGAAATATTTTATAAAAAATGCATGGAAGGTATAGAAGTATCAGATATTCCTGTACACAAAGATATTATTAAAAATTTTAATATTGCAAAATATAAGTTCATAGCATTTAATTCAATCTCAAAACCTATTTCAACAAGTGAGCTACAATTTAATTTTAAAGCTCTAGGAAAGGTTTTGAAGTTAATATTAGAAATAAGTTACAAAATATTTCTTTATACAAATCATAAATTTCCTTCAACAGTAAAAATAGTTCCTTTACATAATTTTACTGTTGATAATAGTTTAACTTTTGAAACGAATAATTTTGAAACCTCCTATCTCCAACTTATTATCAAACTTTTGAAATTAATATTTATCCCTCGAGGTTATTATCGTCATGCACAATCTAGTCCATTTGTAGATATAATTAGAAATGAAAGTAATAATGATATATTTAATAACCCTGTAATGGAAGCTGTAATTGATTATAAATGGAAACCAGCAAGGAACTATTTACTACAACTTTTTGTTCTTTATATTTTATTCGCAGCTTGTTTTGCAGCAATTTGTGGGACTTATGTGGCACATTCTGAAGCAACAGAATATCATAATTTTTTATTATTCCTTATTATCCTTTTCTATTGTTTAGTTATTAGTTGTAGAATACAGACAGTTTCATCATCATGGTTGGAAATATTACTTCAATCTTTTTAATTGTGTGGATTTAGCATCAATTATCGTAGCAGTGATTGTAATGTCAGTTTATGTCACTCCTTCATTTGATACGAAAAAAGCATTTGCTAATGTTATAACGACTCAAGAAATAACCATCGCGATTTCTTTTACGATGTTATTATTGTGGTTTGAATTTGTATGTATCTCGTAATTTTTTGTGACAAAAAAATATTTAAATTAAAAATAAAAAATTATTACATTTTTTATCAAATAGATTTTATACCTTCGGTTATTATCAGGTAATATTGGAAATTTATATTTGTATTTATCTTCATAATTTATAAGTGTTTAACTTTATAGGGGATTATTTCTTTTAGAACCAGCGAAATATATCTATATTATGCTAAATATTATTAATGAGACTTGGGTATTTCTTGCTTTTATGCTTCTTGTGATGGCAGGATTTGCACATAGTTTTTTACTATTATTACAATATCCCGATTTTACAAACCTTACAGAAGAAACATCATCATCTACATTAATTACGGGTGATTCAAACTTCAAAATTCAAAATGATTTTGATCGAATTGAAGATAACCCAGCTAAAAATTTCATTACCTCATTTCTTTCAACATATAATTGGTTAAATGGTGTATATTTACAGGATGATGTATGGAATTTATGGGCAGTAACTTTTATTACTTTTTTTGGTAGTTTTTTTTTAGTAACCATTTTGCAAAATATGTTTATTGTTTTTATGGGGTAGGTTTAATTTTTTTTCAAGTTCTTTTTAAAATATAATTAGTAAATTGATTAAACTTTCATTAGGGGTGTGTATTCTAATGCATATGAGAAAGGTCGTGTTACTTTATTACGATTTCGTGCAGAAATAATTTCAGATTATGAGGCATTAGATAAGATATATTTCTATCCTCCGCCACCAGAACCAAAATATATTTATTATGTTGGTAAATCAGAAAGTCATGAAAGCTGGGATGAGAATGTCAAAAAATGTGAGAATAAAAACTTATATGATGATTATGAAAGCGAAAAGAAGAATGAAAATGATACTAGTACCAAAATAGATGAGCTTAATAATAAGATTGTTAAACTTGATGATAAGATGAATAAATTGCTTGAATTTATCAACAAA